ACCGGAAACCATGCAATCGATTGAATTTTCTCCCATCAAGTTTTATATGTTGGCCCCGTGGTGTAGCGGTTAGCACTCAGTACTCTGAATCCTGTGAAAGGAAATCAATTTTCCCAGGGAACTGGAGCTTTGCATCCACGGCCAACGCACCGCAGTCTACGCAGTCTATGGCCGACAAGCTTCACATGTTGATTCCGTGGTGTCGCGTTTAGCACTCAGGACGCTGAATCCTTCCAGGCACTTGTCCATATACTCAGTACATCAATCAGTAGAGTGTACTGCATTTGCCGTGCGTGTTCCCGGGGATTTTTGTTGAAAAATATCAAGTTAATGCTGCTATCCTCCCAAGCAAGTCTACTATCAAATGCCCGACCATGGCGAGATGATAGGTTTGTTTCGCCACAGGCGCAAAGATCGAACCCATGTATGTATTGCAGGGCGTCTCCGACCACTGCGCCACGCGCGCCTTGCATTGCATAAATCTAGTTAATCACAGCTTCTCGCCTGGTGGAGAAGAGAACACTGATTTATTGAACAATGCCATGACAGTCAGAAATAGTTTGAAAATGGATCGACTTCAGCTAAGTTGTCCGCAGTTGTTGGTGACTGATCAGTGGTGTCAAACACTCCAAAGAAATAAGGGCCACTTAAAATGGCGATAACAGAGTAAAATCGAAAACCAACGTACTTGATGGGAAAAGGCGTAGTTGATTAACCGAAGTAGTCTTCGGAATCTACCAGTGGGTTATTAAGAGTATATAAGCATGTGCACTACATCCGTATACCTTCTCATCTCTCTTCCTGTTTTAATTCATATTCACTAGATCTGTACTGAACGATGAAGACCTCCATTTACCCTCTGTGCCTACTATTATTCTTCGCATTCGACCAAAAAACACCCCACCATCTGCGTCTTCTCTCTCAACCAAGGAAAGGTCATTTGGCGCCTCACCATAGGTCCACGCCAGAAAGTGTCGAACGCACAGCGCATGATCCTTGATTCGGCTCAGACGTGGTCACCCCATAAGTCGAGAAATCGATTGGAATTCGATCGAAAAGTGTACCACGTTCTCTCTGAAACCAACTACATCTTCAAAATTGATCACGGTCGTGTTGGTTACTAAAGCACTAATGCTACTCCTTGATGGAACTGTTCCACCGTGCAAATCGCGTACCATTACATCTGGGAGCGACTGTTCCTTTGGAAAGATTCTATACGCACGAAGGAACCACATCGACACGGTAAAATATTTTATTCATCGTCAATAGCTATGTCAAAATCCGCGTACTCGATTGCAATTGTGGCCCTAAAGAGGGCCGTTGGATTAGTTGTGTGCACGGAAGTTAAGCAGTTCACTTGCTCGAAGTGTACTTGGTAACGGCCTTCGTGCCCTCGGAAACGGCGTGCTTGGCAAGCTCTCCTGGGAGGATCAGTCTGACTGCGGTCTGGATTTCGCGGGAGGAGATGGTCGATCGTTTGTTGTAGTGCGCAAGACGCGAAGCCTCAGCGGCAATACGTTCGAAGACGTCGTTCACAAACGAGTTCATGATCGACATCGCGCTTGACGACACTCCCGTGTCGGGATGGACCTGCTTGAGTACGCGGTAGATGAAGACAGAATAGCTCTCCTTCCGACGATGCCTCTTCTTCTTGTCCCCGGCACGGATGGCCTTCTGACTCTTAGCGGCTTTTTTCGCTCCCTTGGCTGGCGGCTTGGGTGGCATGACGGCTTGAACGCTCACTGGATGGTCGGTGGATGAAGGACGTCCCAAATGACGTCCATCTTATACCGACGTAATGCGCATTCCCCGCCTTCGCCCGTGTGGCCTGCTCCGCCCGCGAGTGGGCGGTTTCAGTGCGCAACGTCTCTTTTAACAGAGTGAGGTGGGCCCACGTTACTATCAGTGGTTGTTCGTCCTGTAGAGTCCTCATCATGTCTGGCCGTGGCAAAGGAGGTAAAGCGAAGACCGGAGGCAAATCGAAGTCCCGTTCGGCGCGCGCCGGGTTGCAGTTCCCCGTCGGTCGGCTTCATCGTATGTTTCGCAAAGGGAACTATGCTGCTCGTATTGGAGGGGGTGCCCCGGTGTACCTGGCTGCCGTACTGGAGTACCTCGCCGCTGAGGCATTAGAATTGGTAGGCAATGGGGCCCGTGACAACAAGAAGAATCGCATCAACCCCCGCCATCTCCAGTTCGCTGTGCGTAACGACGAAGAGCACAACAAACTGCCTTCGAGGGTGACGATCGCTCAAGGAGGAGTTCTTCCCAACATCCAAGCTGTTCTTCTGCCGAAGAAGACCGGAGGAGAGAAGGAATAAATTGTTCGCCGTGAGGCATCAGTCTGACCCAACGACCCTCTTTAGGGCCACAATTGCTGTCGAGCGCATAGCTTGTGATAAACCCATAAAATAAATGTTGAATTGTGTCTTGTTTGTATTCTCTTGGTGCTGAAATAAGTGTGAGGTCGATCGGTTCCGCTCCCATCCGCACGCTTTTCTTGAGCAACAGAGATCTATTGCGTGGTCTCTTCTTTCCGCTTTTCTTTAGCGCATGTCAGTTCTAAGTACGGCTGTTTCTTTGGCCGTTAGTTGCAATCATTGGATTAGATCATAGAACATGTGTGCTTAGATTATATGTGGGCGATGTTAGGAATTATTGGTATTTGTGGTCCAATTTCGATATTATTACGGTATTCTCTCAAAGAACTGGTCAGCTTTCTCAGTTTCCGGTGTTAATTTGCTCGAAGATATGAAAGATTGATGAATGCATCGGATGAGTGGTGCTGTTCTGGTAACGAGCGCTTAAGCAAGTGATTCAAATCGCCAAAGCTCTTCCGAGAAAAATGTACGGGAACGGTTCAGTGCATTTACGGCAAGCTATTCTTCATCTTTCAGCTTAGACCAGTTAATCTACTTTTGTCCCATCAAAGAAAAACCTACAAATCGAAATCAACAACATATAATAAAAGATTGAAAAGAAGACCAAATAGAGCAAATGAGTCAACACCTGAATGCGCGCCAATCTGACCCAACGGTACGACCACGTATACGTTACCTCGGCCATTACCGCCCTTGATTTGAAGTAAATGAAAGCGAATCAGTTGGTTTGCTCGTAGGTTGGTATATTCATTCTCTTGTCAGGTGTCAGCGTCACACTGCGATGTCAATCAATACCTGACGCCATGGCGATGGCTGAGCGTCGACATATTTTTCGTTGGGCCAGTCTTGAGAGTCTTGGGGTTATGACCATACCATTGCTATTTTTCTCTGTGATTCCGCTGCGTTGATTTTTCCTGACTATATATGCTATATACGAAATACTCTTCGATGCTGGGACTGAGCTCAAGGAAGCAAAAGTATCCCTCGCTGAAAACCCCAGAAAGCCTGTCTCATTAGGAATCCCAGCTAGCAGTAAACTAATGCCAGGCTCTACCACCGTCTTTGTATCAAATTAGTCGCATGGTGGCAAATCTCCCTCTGATCCACAAGATCGGCGACTGCTTGTGGTGCTGACGACCCTGGGGCAGACTTTGGCCGGACTGACCTCGGGACTCCTGGGGAACCACAGTGTGTAATCCAGCAAATCTGGGGCCCGCACAGCCAATGAAGATGGGACATGCAAGTATCCTATTAAGTATGTGCTATATACTTTATGCCACTCTGGGTTCATTGGGTTCTTCTCCGTTGCTAAAGTTGAGCTTATTTCGTAATTTCCTCACTAGTACGGCATTTACACGTCCCATGTGTCGTCAGAGATTCATCATGCTGATGCTGGAAGCAATAAGTATGGGTTGCTGATTGAAAATTGGACTCAAGATCGACTTTCTTTTACCTCGGCATTGACCAGCAACTCAGTGCTTTTCTTCAGGAACAAACACGAGCTTCCCCTCTACAACGCTTACTAGTGCACAATGGCTGGTGTTCCGGTTTCGCTTTCTTCAGAGCTGATTTGTTCTCTGCAAGTGTTCCAGCTGTTTAGTGGGCTATTGCATCGTAACAAATGCTGTTATAAGAATCTCGTTTGCTCATGAAGAACGGTGGTGAAAATGGAACATTCTATATCTCACATAGTGGTCTATACAGTTTTTCTAGCCCTGACATAATATACATTGTTGTCTGTTCTACATTTCTCAATACTTTTCCCAATAATTAAAAATTGGAGCGCTTAAGATTAAGACACCGGCTAAGACTTAGAACTTAACACACTTAAAATATTGTTTGCTTTCTTTTAACACTTACTGTTTATTTTGTTGTTCCAGTTTCTAGTTGTTATACGTTCGGTAGACGATGGAAGCCTAAAAGCCTAAAAGTTGAACCAGAGTTAGACTTTGTTCTGTTGTATTGGGTGTGTATATGTGGCCAATACCATTTGTCTCTTCTTTCTCCATACATATGTCTAAATGTCCATGTTTTTCCCATGCCTAGTGAGGCATCCAACATCATTTGATTTGTTCTAGATCCGGTACGAATCCTCTCAGAGCAAAAAGCTAGATGATTTTCTATTCTTCTTTCGCTCCGTTATTAGTTCGAGGGCTTTGTCGTTGTATTAGCACTGTTCTTAAGCTGTGACGTTTTCAACACTTTCATTCTTAAACTGTCTTATAGCGCCAACAGTGCATCAAGCAGAAGTATCGCAACCACTAAGCATTGTTTCCCTGTATGATGAGCTACCTCAGTTGGACATAGAGGGCTGGAAAATGGAAATACTCAGGCAGAGCTTGGTGTCTAACCAGGTTTTGGTTTTTGTATTACACAAAATTATAGGTAGTAGTTGGTTTCTGGTCTTGAGCACAGCTCTATCATTATTCTCAGTATCCGTCTAAAACAGCCAGCAATGTTTCTAACAACCAACTTTCACTTAATACGGTAAGTATAATCAATGCTTTTTCTATTCATGCACCTGCGCTGGATATTAGATGTTTATTTGGCTAACGTTTCGACTTATTGGCGCTCCCCAGAGCTTCAATGGTTCAAGTCCGGTATTTGCAGCGTTCTTGTCTACCTTCGTGGAAATTCATGGATAGAACAAGAAGACCATTAATAGTCATCTTTGGAACTTCACTACATATTGTTTATGAAACCTGGGTAGAGGCTATTCAGTATACGTTGGCAACGAGTTCCATGTTCTGATACTGATGCGTCACATGTTTTTTAGTTCTTGTGTTACTCGTTTATCATTATGAGCTGATGAACGGTTTAATTCTATGGGTTCCAGCTATGGTTGGAATTGAAGCGGTCGTCTGAGCCTTCGATGAACTCTGGTTGGTTGATAATGGTGACGGTTCTGAAGGCATTGCTGAGAAGGAAGCAAATCTTGAGTTGCGCGGAGAATTTGTTGACTTTGCAATAAGTACTTTGTGTTACTTCATAATTCGGTTTCTTGACTTCTTTGCTGTTCTTTTATTATCGCTCTTCGTTTTTCATGGTAGTGTTTTGGTTCAACGATTGACGTTTCTAGAGTTTAGAGTCGCCTTCCATCAACTAGCATTCCAAAATGCTTATGAATAAGGTGGAGTTGCGGAGAACATTGTAACATATTGCTGTCAAGGGAATTAGTAAGTACTTACATTTTCCCTTCAACTGTTTGTGCGAATCTTTTCTTAGTATAGTTTATATGACCCCTCTTCCGTGTAGTCACCCATTGTTTTCTAGCTACACGGGGGATCCACTGCAGCAACCTGCATCCGTTCTCGGTCCATGAGAGAAGTGTTATGAAGTTGTTATTGTATTCTGGTTGTTCATTACCCATTCTTGGTTGAACATTGGAAGCGATTTTGTGTTTGCATCGTCGTAGTTTGTGAAATAAATCCTCTTATGCTATTCACAATTGTTCTCTCATCATCCAGTGATTAACGCATCGCATATGGTGGCTGGTGCGTGGAATCCCTCCAGAGATTCTCCGGAAGAAAATCAATTAGAAGGAGTCGGCTAAAACGTGTGATGATCATTGGCGAATGCTGTGTAGTAGTGTTATCTCGTGATTCCGAGTAAATTCACGTTCGATAAGGAATTATTTCGAAATGTCAGTGAGGATAGAACACTGTATGTGCGGAGTTTTAACAGCAATTGAAGCACTTTTGTCGTTACAGGATAATGAGGGAATGAACAAAGGTCCTCAAATCCTTTCAGCACGATTCACAGTAACGAATTTGCTAGTATCTCAATATTTTCCACTCATTGCACTGATGAAGTGGACGACTGAACCATGAAGTGTCCACATGAACAGTGGGAACATCGGATTTTAATTGGAAAATATGGGTTTCTTCCTAAACCGATGCTATCTATTTGAGTCGATATCGCTAGCGCAACCAAACCCGCCGATCTATGTGGGAGAGTAACTTGATGAATTGCGAGGGTTTTAGACTATATTATAGGTGGTTTTGAGCACTGCTTTCGAAATACCAGTGAAAACTTATGAGAATAGGGTTGAGAATTGTTTCCAAACATGTAAGACGAGAAATCACATCTGTGACCAACTACTTTATTGATGCCCAACACTTCCCAGGCATCATTTCTAGCAATGTTGACGTCGGCTATATATTTATTACCAAATAACACCTCTCGATAACCGATTCCTTTACATTCAGTGTCTTTTTCGAAGTTTCGCATTTTAGTATGTATCGCCGCAAAATGAACTCGTTCTGCAAAATGTTTTTAGGAAATAGTTAAGCGTAGTGAATGGCTCTCCAGTTCTCACCTTTGCTGTTTTGATCTACTTCCTATTAACAATCAAGTTAATATACACAATCCGGTAAAAGAAAGCTCTGGTCCCCACTAAACATGGATAATATAATGTCCACACTTTCGTTTGGTCCAAATAGCTATGGACAACATCGCGTTCATATGTGGCAGAAGAGGTTAAAAATTCTCATTATCACGTCTGCTGTGATGAGAAATTTCCTCAACTGACAGTTTCTTTGTAGAGTGGAATAGAAAAACTGCAAGTGACACACTGTTCGTTTTTCTGAGACTACACCATTCTACTTACTCGCATGTCGCTGTCCTAAACCATGAAATGGTAAGGTAGAAAGATTTGTTTAAACCATCTTTTAAGTGTCAGATAGAGATATCAAGTTGTTGTTTCGTAAACATTGGACATTTTCCTTTCTGAGTTTTGCATTGTGTCCAACGATAACTTCAAATTCTTCCTTACCGTCCAAAAGACGTGGTAATGGCGATGGTCCGCCCACCTATGACGCCGGCGTTGCAGCGTGCGGTCCTCGCCGTCGTCTATATAAGCGGCACTCGAGCAGTGGCCTCCATGCCATTCCTCAGTGTCGTGCTGTCGCCATGTCTGGTCGTGGAAAAGGAGGCAAAGG